GTAAACTTTTTTAAAAGCTTGACAAAGGGAAATGGATTAGGTGGGAGGCAGATGCTGTTTTACTTTTCTCCTTCGTTTTCAAGCCTGAAGAGTACATGTGATAGCTACAGCTACATTAGCAATTTCACAATAAGTTACTTATAAGTTGAAGGAGCCTGGAACATTGATTATACTGAAGCCATTATGCCAGCCTTAGATTGCCTACCTTTAGAATTTTCGTACATTACACCATTTTCTGTTTCTAGCAGCCAAACTCCATTCTTAACTCAATGTTTCCTCAACTTTCCCCACTGTGGCACACACAGTAAATGAAAAAACATACTCTGGATGGAGCTGCTTGTCTGGAGGAAAGGGACTAGGGCACCAGCTGCCACAGGTCCCACCCTAGAGGACACTAGGACACAAATGACCAATACTTCAGCATCCTAAAACCCATCAGGAGTTTCTGACCTAATGAATACAAGGAGGAAGAGGGACTGACACAAAATAAACAGAATAACCAATTTAGAAAGAATCATATGGAAATCTGGGGAAGTGCAATATTACAAAAGGAAGAGAGGTGAGTTCAGAGAATGAATAAATAGCAGAGCTTCTAAAACACTAGGAAGAGCGGAGAAACGACCTTAGGAAAGCAGATGATCACTGGTATGAGAAATGTTTCAGTCAAATGGTAGCACTAGAAATCTGACAGCAAGACAGTAGATGATACTGGGCAGGTAAAAAGAGACTGAAAACAGCAATAGCAAGAAGTGAAGAAAAGGGGAGAGGTCAGTAGTTCAAAGGGGTAGCAACGATGAGGAAAATATTTTCACTATAAGGAAGTATTGAAGAGGGAAAGAGCTTAAACAGAAGAGGAAAGCATGAAGATGAAGAAAAAAGTAGATAAAATTCAAGGTGTCAAGTCAAACAATCTTTGGAATAAGAGAAAAAGGAAGTAACAGCATAAGAAAAACACACTTTAATAAAGAGGAGGGAAGTTAGAGGACTTAGGTGGATGGCTTTGATCTCAGTTATTTAAGAGCACAAGGAGAGAATGAATTGGACTGATGAAATCGTGAGAAGGAAGTAACTACTGTGGAATGCAAATGTAATAGAGAGATGAAGGGATTGCCAAGCAGCACTGCAAACTCATTTTATGTCAGCCAGCATAAACTTGCATCAAAAACAGCTCAGTTTTGTGAATTCTTTCATTTGTCAGTCTAGGATCGGGGGCTGAAAAATGGGAGGTGGAGATTTCCTGAATTTGAGACTGGCAAGAGAAGCAGATTAATTTTCTGTTCTAGATAAACAAGTGTATAATAAAGTTTCATCAATGGTATTAATATTTTTCAGTCTTCACTCTTGTGATTGGCATATGAAACCATTCATTTTCAAGATGCCATAGTCAACTAGTATTGGGTCCATGCTGATTTCAAGGTTTAAAGCCGTAGATTATAATAGCTTACAAGCCTGGATATGTCCTTATTGGTCATCCAATTCAACTATACTTAAGATATGAGGTAACTAAGGTCCAAAGAAGTTAAGGAACTTGTCCAAAGTCACAACAGTAGTGGCAGAAACATAGAGGTCTCCTGATTTTCACTCCAGGGCTCTTTCCAGTATATCACAAATTTGTCTAGAAAGCACATTTGCCAAAGTAAAATATATCACTAGTGATGGCCTTCAACCTAGTGCTGCAGTCTAGAAAGGAGAATCTGTAGGACTTCCTGGAATTCTTATCTAATAAGTCAGCTCTGCCTTTCTTTAAAATACCATAAAAAAACAAAACAAAACAAAAAAACCCCATAGAAGCCAGTAAGCAATTTTGCCTCAACAGAAGCATAAGGTCTTATACATGGAGGTTTTTTATACATTGTTGCCAGGACCGTGGGTTAAGGTAAGATTTGTGAACCAGAAATAGACTTGGGACCTGTTACTTCTATTTGAAGTAAGGTAGGACAAAGTGAAATCAGGGAGAAGGAGATCTCTGGATAAATGCTGGGAATACATCTCAAAAAAGCAAAGGAAGACAACAGAGTCCAGGTTACACTTGGGTCTTCTTAACAGTCCTAAAGTTGAGCCTAGTTAAGGGGGATCTTTGTAGATGCCAGCTGAATTACAAACAGCCTAAAAAGAGATGAGATCTGCAGGAATTTCAAAATGCCTCTAAGGTAAGGTTTATAGTGAGAAATAGGAAAGAAAGAAGCAACACTGCAGAATAGGTAAGCAAAGAAATCAGGAAGAACTCAGGCCATGACCCCTACACCAGTTCTCTGCAAGGGGGCTCAGTTCTATAGGGAGTGCAGGACCCTCCATTCCCCTTGGAGGCCAAGCATTTATAGTTTATCTCTAAGGGAAGGCAGAAGGGCTTTTCAGTATGAAGACAGTAGTTTGCTGGGCAAAGAGACAGAAAGTATAAAAAATTGGGGTAGCAGACAAGAAACCTACATGGCAGGAAGGACTTTTTTTTTGTTAAGTATATGTATATAGTTCTTACTATTAACCTGAAAACGGACACAGTATACTAGGTCTTCTAGATTTACCAAGAATGATCTTTGCAGGAAATCTCTGTTATCTAAAGATGAAAAGGAATATGAACCAGCTCTGATCCTAATTCAGACCTTTGCCAACAGACAGTACAGGGGAAGGCCCTCTGGGATGGCCAGAAAGCAAAGAGTAGAGTGTATCACTCCAGAACAGTTCTCTTTCCCTTGGGATGAAACGAAAAGAAGAGAAGAATAAGCCCTAAAACACAATATGGTAAGTGGGGAAAAATACAGTATTAAAATTACTCAGAGAACGAACACCTTACAGGTTTAAATAAATTAGAATGATCTTAAGCTTGGTGAAAATAATATTTGAGTTTCAGAGAAGGTATAGAATTCTGGAAAGTATCTGAGTTTATGGTATCTATTACATATATACTAACATAGATCCAGAAATGACAATGAGATGGTATAAGCATCCATTCATTCAAATAAATATTTGTGAGGGCTGGCATTAAATATTGAGGATATAATAGCGAGCAAAACAGAGTTCCTGAGCTCAAAGAACCTTTAGAACAGTGGAAGAAACAGACATTAATAGAAAAATGCTGGGATTTCCCTGGTGGTCCCGGGGCTAAGACTCCCATGCTACCAGTGCAAGGGACCTGGGTTCGATCCCTGCTCAGGGAACTAGGTCCCACATGCTGCAAGACCTGGCAGAGCCAAATAAATAAATAATATTTTTTAAAAACAGAAAAATGTAATTATACACAATATTACAAATGGTGGTAAGTACTGTGAAATAAAGTACACAGGGTGCACTGAAAGTGTGTAACAGGGGAACTTGCTAATAGGCTGCCAGTGACAACCAGAGAATCTTTCATAACGAACAATTAAAAAAAAAAAACTATGCTAACATCCCCCTAGTAGGGAGGGAGAACAAGAATCCCCAGATAAAAAGGTAACCATTGTTCTCAGGAGAGGGAAAAGGTTATTAGCCTCATTCTCACAGTTTTTATCAGGTTTACATACACAAAAAGTATATTGCCCTTGAAGAAAATCACTACTATAAAGATGGGTGGAATACAGTAAATTGGCAGGAAATTGATGTTTTTGATCTTCAATATACTGAAGCAACAGGCCCTAAAGTTTGCTTGGTGGCTCAGAGCTGTGATCTGGATATGTTTGTAATTCCAGTAGACTCTGGCTGTTCAGACATGTGGCAGACGGCATTTTTAAAATCAGAGATAGCCACTTGTGATTTCCAGACTGTATACTGTATACACACTTACAGTGTCAACCTCTACGTCAACCTCTCTCTTCACAGTTTCTAACACAATGGGATTATTTTCTTCTTCTTTTTGCATTATGGTCTCAGACACACAATAAAACCTCACCAGCAATGTTATTCTGAAAGCTGAAACTTTACTAATATTGCTAACAACAAGAGAGCCAAGAACACAGAATTCTTAACCTGTATCACATCAGTGCCTACTGCATGGAAAACTGAATCACAACAAAATATTCAGAGAAACAGAATTTTTTTTTTTTAACTGGAATGATTAAAATGAAATGCCTGAAGTTCCATGGGCAGACTGACAAGACAGCTTATGATAATCAGAGATAATTAGCTGTGCTCCTCTGGGCTTCTAAACTCCTCAGAGTGGTGACGCTTTGAAAGCCTGGTTACTGATGCAAAGACCTGATGGGACTCTGAGGCCCAGCCTCTCTAACCACACATTCTTTGACAAGGACTTGGATTCTTTATAAAAAGAATGTATTCCGAAATCAAATTGCCATAGATGGTACCAAGGGGATCTAAAATATCTGGTTAAGTCCCTTTGCACCCCTAATTTTTCAGGTTAACAAATTTTCAAAACAGAAGAGATTCTGTTGTCAGGGACAAGCGGAACATACAAGCAGCAGCACCCTACAGTGAGCCAACTGCTTACTGAATGCCTGAAAACAAGACCATGTAAACAGTTCCCTGTTGCCTAGGCCTATAAAATCTGTACTAAGTGACAGATGCATAAAGTGGTGTGGGTGGCTGGGCAATGAGGCAACTAGTAGGAAGGAGCTGGCTGTACCTCCAGGTGTTAAAAAAGGCAAGACTTGCATATTCAGTGAGTCAATACTAAGTCAAGACTGTTTTCCATTTCCTTGACTCCCACAGCTGCCCTTTTATTACTTTTTCTCTTCAAGCCTGACCCAAAAGTTCATGTATATTCAAATTCTCCCATATAAAATGACAGAGAGGGAAACAGTATAGATACAGTTTGAGTTATATGTCTAGTACCTATCAAACGACTGCTTAAAAATGGCTATGAAGGGGAGATAATTAATTTTTAAAAACTGGCAATCTCTAGAAGCTAAGCAATTTTATAGAGAAGTTTGCTATAATCTTCTGGGTAGGTATCACCAGCAAACGATGGTCATGTGAGACTCCTAATAAATACTTGGTATTATTTACAACCATAAGTCCTTGTTGACAGAAGAAGGTTGAGAAGGTACAGGAAAGCCACATGTAGTACTTACCGTCTTCGGTTTCCTGCCACACGATGCCCTCGAGGTTGACACTTGTCCCAGGTTCGCAGGGGCCCAGACACTCAGGCTCTGTGGCCAGAGCCACATCACATGTATTGACCCCAACGGATCGGGTACGAACCATGATCTGCTCACAGGGGGATGAGATGTCATTATTGACCACGGGCACCAGAAGGTGCAGTGGCAGCACTGCTGGTGTGGAGACAGGGGACTCCATCTGTGGGGGAAGAGAAAGCAGTAGATGAGTTGCAAGAACATTTACAGGAAATATCTTCTCTGTATTTAATCTAGTCCTACATCCTCTCCTGCCAGAAAGCAGAGGGCTTTAAATACAAGACTTTAGTCCTTATTTTTCAAGTTCTAGCTCATGATACCACTATAAATCTAAGTGGTTTAGATGAGTGCACCCTGGGCTAGAAGAAGCTCTATGTCTTATTAATGGCCCTCCTCATAAACTGTGCTTGGCTAAAAGTGTATTAAGAAAACTGTCTCTTTTAAAAATCTACTGAAAGAGAATCAGGGCCAGACCTCAACAGCAAGAGAAGAGAGCACACAGACTGATGAGAAAGAAAAGGCTCAGCTTCTGAGGCTTGTTCTACTGCTGCCCTTCTGCACCTCTGCAGCCTGTCAACAAGTAATACATTAATCAGGTGTAAAATCCAAGAATACATATGGGGATAAAGAGAGGGAGAAATATCCAGATCCTAGGAATGCCACTCCAGGAAGACTGGAGCTTTAGTTCATCTTTGGGTAGAAGGAAACGTACTTAAAAGTCACAGGAGGGCTGATGGGGGTTTCTAACCCACAGAGATTATAATAGCGATAGGTTAATGACAGTGACATTTCAGAGTGTGAATCTAACATCAAATGTGCAGAGAAGAAACAGGAGGTACTGTTACTACCCAGAAGCCAATCCACAGCAGCCTGCACATGAAGCTGAATACACACACATACATAAGAATAGTCAAACACAAGAACCAGCAGTCTGGGACTTCCCTGGTGGTCCCGTAGTTAAGAGTCTGCTTGCCAATGCAGGGAACATGGGTTCGATCCCTGGTCCTGGAAAATCCCACACGCTGTGGGGCAACTAAGCCTGCGTGCCCCAACTACTGAAACCTGGCACCCTAGAGCCCATGCTTTGCAACAAGAGAAGCTACTGCAACGGGAAGTTGGCGCACAACAACTAGAGAGTAACCCCTGCTCCCCGCAACTAGAGAAATCCTGCATGTGGCAATGAAGACCCAGCATAGCCCCCCACCCCAAAAGAACCAGCAATCTCTACCACCAAAACTAGACCCTCTCACAAGAACACAATTTTACTTAGATTCCAAGAAGAAATTAACACATCTAGAGTTAAAAGTTGTAACAAAGAGCAATAATCCCTTAATTCTTTAAACCCTAGCATTTATCAGGTTGACAAAGTACCAATTCTGAGATAATAGTGCCTACATCCTAACTAAACAGTGTCTGGCACATGCAAAGGCACTCAATACACACTGACTGATCCTTCCTAAAGATTATGTATGATACCAGTAAGAAGATCTAAAAAGGAGGAGTCAAGGATTGGAACACTCTTTCCCTTGTGAAAGACCAGGTTGACTATACTCCTTCAACAGGCCCACATTCAGAGTGAGGCACCCATGTACCCATTATCAAAGCTGCTGCACAGTTCTGCGACAGGACTCTGGTCCTGAAATAGCTTACTGCATGACCACCACTCTACCTATAATCCATCTCCCTCATTTTAAACACAAACATGCACACACAAACATCTTCCTGGACTCAAACACTACCCTGGAAACCAAGGTCTGGGTATTGAATCCATTCTCTATAAGTAGCTCTGACTTCTTGGCTTAAAAATCAAGTGATATTTGCAGATCATCTCTATCAGAGTCCACAGAATGCTAAAACACTGGTTCTGATTAATTCTGGTCCCTGAATAGCTGCCAAAACATTATCCTTATCTGTTTGTGGTTATACACATCCACCCCGTACTTTCTAACTCCACCCTTTTCATTAAATGAAAGTAGAAGCCTGTCCAGTGAATCTTCTGCATAATGATAAATGCCAAGAGGCATTTTTGGTCTTTTGTACTCCTGAAAATCAGGCATTTATAATTCAATTTGACAACCTTCTTGGGATGTGTTAGATCCCTGAAAAACTCTTTAAAAAAATGTCTAAGCACAGATTTGAAGGTAAGAACAACAGAAAAAATAAACTGGATTTCCTACTACTCCTGTGTAGTGCTAGACTCTGGGTCTAATCATTAAGCCCTCTCAGGAATGCTTTTAGACAGTGGTTCATTAACTCTTTGGAAAGAAAGTTTCCTAGAGATTTCACCCATGAGAATTATCAGAAAGGGAAATTAGAGAGTATTCAGATCATCTTTACTCTTGGCCTCGCCTCTGTTTCTCGGGTCTTCAGAGTTAGTTAATATGTGCATTTCCTTTGCTTAGAATCTGTCCCCTTTTCTATACCTTTCTTCTACTAGCAAGAGAAACTCCTGCAAAGTCCTCTTTCTTGAACAAAGAAATTGGCCTAAACCCTCTAGGTCACTCCTGTGAACTCTCTGACTGCCTGGCTTGAGCAAGACCTATTGCCAACATGTCCCATCGCTGAGGCAGCAATCCAAATCAGAGCAGGAAGGAAGTCCCCAGGGAGTCACCTACACACTCTCTGCCATCAAGGGCAGCTCTTTTCTAGAAGTGGTTTCATTTCCTGTTAATTTATTCAGTACTGCTGGGAGGCCAAGAAAAAGATAAGCCACTGACATTCTGGACAAAGCTAAGCTCCCAATTCTATACTGACAGATTCAGAAAACATCTAAGATGTAAGCACAAAACACCACTGTTGTATTCAGGCAGCTTGTTAAATTAAACCCTAAACATCTGAAGAGAAGAAACTTAGCTGAAGTGATCACTAAGAATAACAGAATTAATACATGAGGAGATGATTAATGTGTGTGTGCACGTCAAACTACTCCTACTAATCGAAGTTATTAGTAAGTTACTAAGTAGAGCTCAGCATCTGTTTGTGTGAGGATGACTTTACTTAACTATTTGATTAGTTAAATGGGATTTTGGGGAATGAGGAGAAGGGAGAAAATGCACCTTCAGATTTGGAACTACTGTTCAATTCCCTTCTACTTTGCAACAGAAATCTAAGGAGAAATCACAGAGCAGCACAATAATGTTTAATTACAGCTCTAGCTCTGCTAATTACTGTTTGGTCACATCTATAATCTACATTAAGCCATAGTGCATAATAAGCAGCTCTGTGATATTCATCTAATAAGCTAGGTGACTTTGTGGGATTTCAAATTCTACTATTCACTGGAACAAACACAGCTTCATTTATCACTCTGCAGGAGAGGATGAAAATCAAAAAAGGACTCATTTTGCCATCTTTCCTGTATACCTAGGATGCAAAAAGCAGGGACTGTCAAAAGACTGATGCCAGCGGGGAAAACAGGGATAAAAATAGGAAAAGTTAGGGTCACTGAATACCTTCACAACTATGACAACAATAAAAGCTGGCCAACTCTCAGATTCTGAAATGCTAAGAAGTGCCACCGTGGCTCCAGGGGCTCACTGAAATGGGAAGGTAAACAATACAACAAAAGAGAAACCTGAAAAGAGACAGAAAACTTAAAGATGGAGATCTCTGAAGTTTCCTAATATTTCATGTCCTTTATCTTTTAATGATACTTCTTTCTAATTCACCTTTAGATATTAGCCTAATAGCACCTATTAGGGATCTGAGTGCTGATAGGCAGGTGACACAGATATGAGGACTGGGAAAATAAAGAAAGGCCAGAGCCATTAATCTCCCTGCAAGAAGTGATTATATACTGACTTCAGCTGCCTCCCACACTTGAGAGGCACTAATGGAGGAAAAGGCTGCAACATAATTTCAGGGGTAGAAAATGAAGTGAAGAGGTATTTGGGACAGACTCTCTCCTTCACAAATATGAGTCTGATAACATCACCTTCACACTCAAAAGGCAGAAAGGAAGCTGGTTCTACTGATAACTTCAGTAGCTCTAAGAAACTCCCTTTTATCCAAGAAAGAAAGATTACTGGGGATGATGGTTAGATGAATGTTCAGATTAATCAGAAAAGATTGTGCAGAAAGTAAAATGTCATCAAATATACTAAGTATTATAGTAATAAGATCCCTGGAGTAGGAAATGGCAACCTACTTCAGTATTCTTGACTGGAAAATTCAATGGACAGAGGAGCCTGGTAGGCTACAGTCCATGGGGTTGCAAAAAATTGGACACAATTCAGCACACATGCACACACACACATTAATAAGAAGTCCTCTTTCTTCAATAATTCCCAAGTTTCTTCAAGATTTTATAGTGACTCAGCATTAGTAATACTAACAGTAATGTATGTTCTTGATTCATGAACAAATATAAGTACTCACCCTGATACAGTATAGCAAACTTGATTTGCTCACAAGGCCATCTTGGTGGCTCAGATGGTAAAGGATCTGCCTGTAATGCTGGAGTCTTGGGTTCAATCCCTGGGTTGGGAAGATCCCCTGGAGAAGGGAATGGCTACCCACTCCAGTATTCTTCCTGGAGAATTCCATAGACAGAGGAGCCTGGCAGGCTATAGTCCAAGGGTCACAAAGAGTAGGGCATGACTGAGTGACTAACATACATTATAAAAAACCAGGTAATTTAAAAAATCCTATTTATCAGTTTATTATGTTATTTATATTTCTCTAAAGTTTAATATTAATCAGAAGGACTGATACTGAAGCTGAAGATCCAATACTTTTCTGGCCACCTGATGCAAAGAGCCGACTCATTGGAAAAGACTCTGATGCTGGGAAAGATGGAGGGCAGCAGAAGGGTACGACAGAGGATGAGATGGTTGGATGGCATCACTGAATCAATGGACACGAGTTTAAGCAAACTCCTGGAGATAGTGAAGGACAGGGGAGACTGGCGTGCTCCAGTTCATGGGGCCACGAAGAGTCGGACATGACTTGGTGACTGAACAACAACAACAAATTAAAACACAGGGGGAAAATTCTCAAATTATTTGAATTGCCTTCTATTGATTGGCAATTTGAGATAAAATAAGTTCACTGTATTTTTTTTTTTTAAATTTAGGGCTGGAATTTCGCTGATGGCCCAGTGGATAAGAATCCTTCTGCCAAAGCAGGGGACATGGGTTTGATCCCTGGTCCAGGAAGATTCCA